GAACACAAAGAGCTGAAACAAAACAGTGTCAATGTATCTGAACTGCATGAAGGGTCTGTGCGTTCATTTTCGGAACACCTGCGGCAGCAACATGCTGGAGTTCATCACTTCAATTCCCTGGGGCGGGAAATGACCTTGGGGCAGCGGGCAGCTACGTGTGAGATGGCTGAGTGTCACATAGACTTTGTGTGGGTGGGAAACGTCCTTGGGGCAGCTAGCAGACAAACTTCAAAATTGTGAAGCCCCTAAGCTCAGTAAGCTGGCGGGTGGCAAACTGGCAGGACAGGAATAGTGGGTTCATCCTCAGAGAGAGAGAGAGGGGGACGGGGCGTACCACGCTGGTGCGCGCATTGCTTCTAAATAATGATGTTCATTTGAATTTTCAGTTCACAAAGAAAACAAAACAAAAAAGGAAAATTGTACCTGGGCAGAGCAGAAAATTGTTGCCACTGGCTGCAGATAGGCCTACAACTTTATTTCAGTCTGGGCAGCCAGAGTGGCATTAAATTGGGTCCTGGTCTGGCTGGCTGCAGTTGGCCAATTTTTCAGGTTTCTGGCTGGGTCAGGTGCAGTTTGGAAAATCTGCAAAAACCATCTATCCAGTTTGGACAGCTGGCCAGAATATTTGTTTGCAGTTGGGACTGGGTACAATTGTAGTTTTTTTTGCAGACCAGATTTGGGTCGGATGCAGTTTGCAACATACACACAGATTGCGAGCACTGCTGTGCCTTGAAGCCTTGTTGATGCAGCGCAACCCCAACTGGGGCCTTCTAGATGCAGCGCCTACCAAGGAGATGAAGATGATGTCCACCAGCCAGATAAGTACCTCCTCCACCCTCCTCCTGAACTCCTCCTTCCTCCTCCTACCCGGTCATGTCGACCATATCCGAGGTGGAAGGCCAGGCACTTGTCCTCCCAGTGCTCTACACTAGCGTTACTCCGCCAAACGCTCCAGCAGCGTGACTCCCGAACTCGCACACTCCAAATGAAGCGGAGCGATGAGTGCTCCCCTGAGATATGCTGTGAGGCCTGCCTTGTCGGCGTTGACTTCCAGGCCACTTCGCCTCCCAAGCAACCGGTACCTCCTCCATTTTGGAGGGAAACATCATTGCAGACCTGATATCTACCGCTACAGGCCCTAGACTCAGGCTATTGGACTGCTACCCCTAAGCCTAGGCCTACAAGACTTCTACAATTCACGCGGCCTCTAAAGGTACTAACTTTTTGTCTTCTTCTGCTCGGCCTACCGCTACTCAAGTGCTACCGGGCTGACACTAACGCTACTTGAGGGTGGCGTAAGCTTCCCCTCAGCTACTTCAGTGTTTCCCCCCTGCAACCCTCAAAGTCACAACCACATGTAAGTACCAGGCCCGTGGGGCTCACAAGCACACAAGTACCCTGTCGGGTCACACACACACACAACTTTGCCTCCTGTTATAACGTGCAAGTGGGCCGTTAAGGCACACGGGGATGTGGGCAGCTTCCACTTAACCACAGTCAACGTGGGCAGCCTTGTACGTGTGAGGCATAGTAAAAGAGGAGTTGTTGCCCCAGAGAAACCCCAGCTAAACGCAGTTCTAAATGGTTCTATCATCATTCATGTTGCTTGCTAAAGAGGTGAAAATGTTTAATTGTTGGGCTGGCTCAACTCAAATCTATTCGTCCGGGTGGAATAGGGGCTGTTGTGGTGGAAATTTAAAACACACTCAAGCACTCAGGCACTCAGGCACTCAGCCAGACACACCGAAACCAGCAAGCACACACACACACAGACTTAGAAATCTAAGCAGAAAGCGGGAATCTCAGCAAATCACACATTTCAACGGCAAAAGTCAGAAATCAGCAGAGTTCTCAGTCTGCGATTTTGCAGGTCATCACATCTCATAGAGGGGAACTTGAGTCAAGCTCAACGCGGTCTTCTTTCCCGTCAGATTCTTCCAAGCCCATTACCTTGCCTATGGTGTTGCCGGATGGTCGATAGGGACAGTGGGAATCTCGTTTGGCTGCCTGTAAGTACGAGAGAAGGTTAACAACAACCGTATTTTTCATCACCGCTTCAGGACACCCTTCACCACTTCAGGATGCAGCCTGCCTAAACAGGTGGTTTTCAGGGTCTTTGGACCTTTCACCACTTCAGGACCATTCAGGTCTGAAAATCCTGAATGGTCCTGAAGTGGTGAAAGCTCCGAAGACCCTGAAAACCACCTGTTTAGGCAGGCTGCATCCTCAAGTGGTGAAGGGTGGTTTTCATGGTCTTTGGACCTTTCACCACTTCAGGACCATTCAGGTCTGAAAATCCTGAATGGTCCTGAAGTGGTGAAAGCTCCGAAGACCCTGAAAACCACCTGTTTAGGCAGGCTGCATCCTCAAGTGGTGAAGGGTGGTTTTCATGGTCTTCGGACCTTTCACCACTTCAGGACCATTCAATAGCTGTCTCTTATACACATCTAGATGTGTATAAGAGACAGTTTCCAGACTGCCTAAAAGGTTCACTTCAGAATTTTCATTCCTGAATTTTCAGCTACCCGATAACCGCTTGTGGTAAGTACGTGCTTAATATGCATCTAGTCACATCCGGTTAGACCTTACGGTCTGTCTAGCTCAAAGGAACTTCCCACATGAAATCCCTGCTATATTTAGCCAGGAAATGATCGAACGGTGGACTCGCAGAGCCTGTCGGCTCCATGCGTAATATATTTAATGATCACAGGCATTGTAATAGTGGAACAACTTACCAGCGGGCCTAGCTCAGTTGGTACAACCAGTGGACTGTTGAAATACAGACCCAAGGTCGAGTCCAGATGCAACCACATGAACAGAGTTCCGGAACAAAATCATTCTGAATTACCGGGGGCTGGTCTGTTCAAAGATGATGTCTCAAGGCCGTCGCCCTTTAGAGAAAAAAATATTGGAGCGACTTAGTACGCCATATATGTTGCGAAACAATTGTGGACAATGAACTAGCAAAAAATGTAAAATTGTAAAAATACTAGAATAGTAAAAATACAGTACGATGGCCTTAGCTCAGTTGATATACCCATGAACTGTTGAAAATTGAAATACAGACCCAAGTTCGAATCCAGAGGCTGTGAGATTAACAAAATAATAACATACTTCTGATTTACCTAGGGCCGGTCGGCTCAATGATGATACCTCAAGGCCTGAAAAAAAGCAGAAGAAAAAATGGGAAGGCATAATATTTAAAAAAAAAGAAAAAAAAGACAATGGCACACCGAATGAGTGCGACGATTTGTTAAACAAAGTTAACAAACTGCCTTACCAACTGCTTCAATCTGCAGATCTGCAGATTCAACATTGTCCGAGGGCATACTCATTCCAGCACATCCTTTCACTTCAGGTAAAGTCAGACCATGACAGTTGGTGTAGGGAAAGGATGCGTGAGAGGGTGAGGGGGGTGTGCACCACTCAGGGGGGCGTACTCACACTTTGACTTTTTCCTACAAAGCTGTGGACGTGATTGCTGTCAGATTCATCCATGTCTGGCCGTAATTGCAGTCAGGTGCATTTCAGAAAGTGCTGGAATGTGCGAGGAATGAGCCCTCGCGGGGACCTTGTCAAACATGCACATGTTCTGGGCAGAGGCCCTCAGCAAGCCAAGTGCCCGCGCTAAGTGAAGGCGGGCCTGAATATTCACTAGAGGCCAAAATTTGACATTTTCCATATGTGGGTACTCAGGCTGTTGCAGCACGCCAGTTGGTTGAAGGGAAGCGTGAGCCTCCCTAAGCTGCGTCGTACAGTTTGGCCCAGGCACTGGTAGTTGCGCCTGGGCACATACACACCATGCAGGGCTGATACATCACGAAGTGGCTACGGGCCTACGCGAAAGCAGCATTGTCGACGTACATACCCCGGGTCCTGTGCAGATACAGAAAACTGCCGAAGTTCTGGAAATGCGGGGTGTGCCCAACTGTACAAGGCCCAGGCCCTCAACTGCAAGGCTGGGTCTGGGCGCGGGCGCCAGGGCCAGACCGGAAGCTACTGGATGCTTCTCGGCCAGGCCCTCACAGAGCCGACCAGAGGCAGCCAATTCCATATAGGAAGAGAGGCAGGCTCAGGCAGCCAGGGTCTGGCATTCTGGCCCGCGCAGGCAATGCGGTCATGCTGCTGCGTTGCTGCGTTAGAGGCTGCGTGCTGCGTTGAGGCCAGGGCGCATACGGGCGCTTGTGATGTGAGAGGGGCGCTGTTGTGTAGCAGCCATAGCCGGGCTGCAGGGCGCTATGGGGTAGGAGGGCGATCGGTGGTCTTCAGTAAGGAGGCGAGTGTGGGTGGTCAGGGTCTGATGAGGGGAGACGAGATACGTACCTGGTGCATGAGGGAGGTCGGCTATGGTGTTGACGTCATGTACATTGGTCTTCAAAGTCGAAGTGAGCCTGTTGCTTGAATGCTAATGTAGGTAGGATAGGCAAGTAGTGTAGGCGGGGCGCTGGGCGCCAGACTGAAAGGAGGGAAATTGGACACTGTGTTGGTGTGGCCTGAGGGCTTGAACATTGGCTCATGACTTCATTGTGTTGCTCTTAATTGGATGGATTCTCGGTGCATTTATGCTCTCTGCTTGTACACGACTACTTGGACATCTGTGTGATTTCGCAACTTGGCTTTCTGTATATCGTTCCACTCATACTCCTTGCAAATGAGTATGCCCTCGGACAATGTTGAAGTTTTGTTGATGTATCTATCCATGCTGTGGTGTCATCGGCCACACTCGTTGCCGTTTTTTTCCGGAGTTGAAGTGTACTAGCAAATTGACTGTGTGTGGGTTTTGTTTTTCCCCCTTTTGAAAGGGTGGCAGCCCAACAAAAAAAAGGAAGAAAGAAAAGAAAGAAAGGAGGTCAGCGGCCCCAATATTAAATTGCATGCGTGTGTGCTCGGCTATGCTGTGACTTGTGGCCTGCTCAAACGATGATGACACGCCAGTTTTTGGATGCAAGTGGGATCACACTGATTAATGATGCATACAATGCGAGCCCAATTACTGTCGAGGGGGCCCTCAAGTTCTTGTCCTCTCTGCACACTGAAGGAAGAAGGATTGCTCTACTCGGTGACATGCTTGGTAAGAAGCTCTTTAGTGTTCAGTGTCCGAACTTTTTGAATTGTGTATTAAGTTACTATTAACACTACTAACTCTTTTGTTTTTCCCCCTCTTTTTCTGCTTTTGTTTTTGTTTTTGGTTTTGGTTTTCCTGCGATTTGGAGTCTTTGTCATCGACGGGCCTGGCTCAGCTGGTACACCCATGAACTGTTGAAATGCACACCTGAGTTCGAATCCAGATGGAACTAGATGAGCGAATTATTTTACATAATTCTGTCTGTGAACCAATTGCAACGAACCAGCTCCAAGTTCATCTCCAAATTGCATCATGCAGCAAACCGAACTCACACCGAACTCACACCGAACTCGCACCGAACTCACACCGAACTCACACCGAACTCACACCAAACTCACACCGAACTCACACCGAACTCACACCGAACTCACACCGAACTCACACCGAACTCACACCGAACGTTCATGCAAGGCAACAAGATGACAAGTTAGCCCAGACAGAGATGATTATACCTCGAAATGATTGAAGACTATACGAGTATCGATATTGACTTCAAAGTACATGCAGCGATGGCCGCCAACCGAACATCAGCAGCCATGTAACTCCCATTCTCCCTCTCTGCCTCTTCCTATGTTGTATTGCTCCCTCTCTCTCTCGCATTCTCGTCACTTCTATCGCTATACTCTCAGTCCTTGGATCTCTCTAGCTGTGGCGCCCGTGCGCCCGTCTCCTTCCTCAACCTCTCCGATCGTCTGTCCGTCCGATCGCACAAGCATCCACCAGAACTTCCGCAGCACACAAATTCACAAGGGAGTCCACGCTGCACTGTAGCTCTATAAATAGCAGCTCGATTGAGATTTCTGTCAGCGGCCTGTCAGTTGCGCTTCGCCAGTTCTGCAACAGACTGGACTTTCCCAGGATGCTGCTGCAAATTTGGGCTTTGGGACTTCGGGACTTTCTTTGTCGGGTGCCGGGCCTGACTTCTAATGACCTTACAACTCTTGACCTTCCTGACACTGTCAGACCCAACTAACCTATGACCTATCAACCTATGGGTCCTCCGAACCAGGACTTCGGCCACTGGGCCTGCCGAGTCGTTGTTTCTGTGTCACTGGGACCCCTGGGACCCCCGGGATCCTGGGATCAGGACTTGGGACACTGACTGTAGCGTCCGTTCACAATGCGAACAGGATTGAAAGCAGTGCAGTGGATACCCTTGTTCCAATAGGTCGTTGTCAATGAGAACTTACTATTGGAGATAGTCAAACAGGTAAGACTGATATCAATATTGATAGTATTTTTTATAGTATATTGAATCAGAAGCAGATCAATGCAAAATGTGGCTCAGAGAAAGAAATCTGTATCACGGTAAAAAACGCGAACGTTGGGGGCTCACACAGGACAAGCATACAGACTGTGTGCAAGTTCAAAAAATAGAAAAATCGGAGTCGTTTAGGACAATTTCTCAATTTAAGCGTGTTGTCCTTGACCGCCGAGGGGCGATGCTAATCTTCTCTCTCTTTATCATTCCTATTCTAACGAATTTCCGGAAGACGAGGTGCAAACTAACACTCCAACCGGTGGGAACACAGGTCTTGCCAACCAGCGGGAGCATAGGTCTTCCATATCTTGCTGGAAGCTGCTTCCATCTGGAAGCAGAATATCATACGGACTGGATTAGGACCAAGAAGGAAATGAACTCTTACCCGGGAAAAAATAAAAAACAAGAGATCACCGAGAAATTCATCATCAGAACACTGAGCTCGGGCAAAATTGGGGTCATGAACAGAGATTGGCTGAAGTTTGGCTGGGATAGTGTGTGAACCACGAATACTCAACAGCAGAACGAACAGAATGAAAGCTTGGCCCGTAACTCCCCCTCGGTCAGCACGGTTTTCCTCGACCTGCCATGAGTTGATCTCCCCGCAGCAAGGGGGCAGACGGCGTAGCCGGAGAGCAGAAGAGATGTTGGCGCTTCATGAATACTTCGATGAGAGAAGGCATTAGGCTGCAGGAACAAGAGTTGACCCCCCCCGGTATCCGGTCGGTCTGCGGCATCCAATAGGACCAACGAAGGACAGCGTGCCCTGAGCGGCAAAATCATTAATGGTGGGAACTTGGGAAGCGCATTTGAGTCCAACTCGTTCTCCGACCATTAAACCACCAGTACACGCCTCACATCGGCCGTGTTACATGCTGCACCTGCACACGAGGGCCATTTTCCAGGCCCTGCGTCCCTCAGGCTGAAAGCCTGAAATTCAGGCTGAAAGCCTGAAAACCAGGGCCTACAGGCCCCGTGTCTGTTCAAGCTCGAAAGCCTGAAATACAGGGGCCTGCAGACCCTGTGTCGTTTCAGACTAAAAATGGCAATAGCCTTTTTAGCCTGAAACGAAGGGCCATTTTCGGTCGTTCATCAGAACGACCGGCCCTGAAACTCAGGCACCGAACCAGGGTTTCGGGAACAGCCTCAGCAGATGCTGCAGCTCCAGCCCCTGGCACACTTCGGCATTGGCAAGAGCAGCCTCCTCGGCCTGGATTGCCCTACAGGCAGTCAGGAGGCAGGCCGAGGTAGTACAAAGGGATTTCCCATGCACTTCACGGGGAGGCAGGAGGCAGTCAGTAGTCTTCAGGATTCGGCAGCAGCACTCTGGAGGGAGCGCTGCAGGAGTAGTAGTATCGTTAGCATTAGTCTTCAGCGCTGGGCGCCAGTAGGTAGCTGTAGTCTTCAGCGCTGGGCGCCATAGCTAGGATAGCACTAGAGAGAGAGAGAGATTGGGTGGAGGTCAGAGGTACTTACCTGCAGCGCCGTTGCTCCAGCTTCGTCTTCGAGGTACCTGCAGCACAGCGGCAACTTCACAGCTTAGTACTTGGCTCGTGACAGAGAAAGAGAGTTCTTCTTCTTCCTCTTCTCAGTCCACCATCTCCCTCTCACCCTCTCATTATCTGACTTCACTGCATCCGCAGACTACGAGAGAAAGAGAGAGAGGGAGAGCTTGGTGACATTGGATCCAGAATCGACTTTTGGGCTTCAGACATTGCAACGAGGGATTATTTGGGACTTGTGACAAGGACTTGGTGTTGTCGACATTCCCATCTCTCCCTCTCCTCTTCGTCTGATCCACTCCTCTTCAACTGTGTATGTCTGGACCTGGCGCTTCCTTCCTGTGTACAGCGCCAGGCTCCTTCACACCTTGTGATGGACACGATGTATGTTTGGTCTGCATTCAAACATTGATTGGGCTAGTCGTTAGCATTCTAGCATTCTGCTTCGCTACCTTGTACTACGTGAATAAGGTCAGTCCCGGTAAGGTCAGGATTTGTATCTAAGTCTTCCCTGCGCTATTCAGCACCATTTTGTATGTATCAGAATGCACATTGCTTGTTGAGATCATACTTGCACTGCATTGTCCATTCAGTCCTTTTTATCACATTGCAGATCCTCGGTTATTGTGTACATCGCCCGACTGGACATGTAACAGTTGGTATCGGAACGCCGCACGTGAATCAGGACAACCTGATCTGACACATGTCCGGGGACTAGGTAGCTGATTAGTCTTGATAGATTGATTAGAGCACACTAGTTAGCCCCCAAAATCATGATTTTGACCTCACTGCCGAAAATCATTTTATTTTTTTTTTTCTTGGATTTTGTTTTCTCGCTGTTCTGTTGTGGAAAATCGCAGTAGCGCAACATCTGAAATTCCCATTTTCGTTTTTTTTCTGAAAATTCAAAATTCCGTTGTTGAAAATCCGGAATATCCTTCTTTTCGAAAATTTTGAGTTCCTGTTGCATTTCCCGTCACTTAGAAATTCGGAATATCTTCTTTTTCGAAATTCTTTTTCCTAAAAACGGTACGGGAAATCCCTCCTGCAGGTATTATTTTCCAAACTGCGAATACTCTCATCTGGGTAAATCCGAATACTTGTCATTTCTTTTCGGAAATTTTTTTTTGCAGTTCTAGGATTCTGTTAGTCAGTTCTATAATCATTTGCAGTCTGAAGTCGATTTTTTTTTTTTTCATTAATCATTTCGCACTTCAAGGGAGGTTGGGAGACCTACTGAACTTGCAAAACTCGGGATTTTTATTTTTTCTCGAATTTTTTTTTGCAAAGTTCAAACTTTTCTTTTTTGATTAGTTGACTCCTTATCTGGGCGATTCTTCCCAGCCACCCTCCCCACCTATGTTGTTGCCACCTCTTGCCCTACCTTCTCTACCTGTCTCCGGGTACCCCCTGCGGCGGCATTGGTGAGTTGCCATGTCAGCAGGCCACGTCAGCCGACAGCAGTGCCACGTCAGCAGCAGGGAATACCACGTCAGCAGGCCCCCGGCCTGGTCTATGCTGTTGCGTTCACAAACAGCCGTCATGGACCAGAGGTCTGGAGAAGCAGACGAGGCCTATCACGCCCGGATGCTGGCCTGGAGTACCGAAACAAAGAGACGGGCAGATGACGCAGCAACAACAGCGAAGAAGAAGGCAGAGGACGCCGAGCAGGCACGTCTGCTAGCAATTGAACAACAGCGCCAGCATGACGAGGCAGCAGCAAAGGCTGCCGATGAAGAAAGAATTCAACGTCGTGAGAAGATATTTAACGGAGAGCAGACTTTGCTAACAATGGCAGCGGAATGGCGGACCGAGGCCGAGAATGGCAAGATGGAGGATAACGAAAATTAGATCGCTCTACTCTCCCATCTCACGGACCTCCTGGCGACATGCATTACACAGCAGGAGGACGTCCACAGCCTCGACGACTCGCTCAAGTCCAAGGCCGCCTCCGGCAGCTGGAGCAGCGACCTGTCGCCGCCCCCGATGCAAGCTCTTCCAACACCCCCGATCGCCTCGAAGCATTGGAGATGGACGCCGGCTCCCTCAAGGACAGCGTGCAGTTATAGCAGACCGCAACGCAACAGTTGGAACAGTGGATCTGCACTGCCGCCAACCAGTCGAGTTCGGAACCGCGCGAGACAGCTCCAAAGTTCGACGGGGAGGAGATCTTCTGCGACTTG